TGGGACTTGTGTTGACGCTCACGGCAACTCGACATCCATCGATCGCATTCTTCGACGCGGGATTCAAATCCGACGAAATACTGTTGGAGATTACTGGATCGGTCTCTCCGTCTCTCATCCAGGTCATCGACAGACAACGTCCCAGACTCCGAGTGGATCATTCGACGGCCTCTCACCCGCTCTCCAAATCCGGCATCCTCCGGCCACGAGTACTCTCAGGATAAACTTGTCTATTAGGATGGCATCGTTGAGTTACTTACAATCCTCCTCCGCAGCCCCAATATTTTCGAGAGCAATGAAAAGGACCTCAAGGTGAATGATCTAAATTTAAACGTTTGGCTTAGTAGTAGCTATTTTGCCATTATCTAGTTATTTGGTTATATTTGCAAGACTCTTGTAATTCTTAAATGTAATCACTGGCCACGTAACATAATCTATCAACGAAGTTTCTTGAAGTCCAATTTGAGTAAGCTAGATTTATCGTTAAACATTGCAAAGTTAAACCTCATTAGATCTCTACTGCAATTCATGTTTACCCCTGTGTATCACATCAAGTTAATTAATGATTTGTGGCGCAGAAAGCATCGATGAAATTAGAGTCGTGTGAATTGAATTTCGAGGATATTCCATGTTGAGGATGGTGGCATGGTTATTTTATAGAAATTAAAGAGCTTCTTGAATCCAAAATATAGTTATAGACTATGCCTCACTTGATCTTAGACTCATGCAAACTTGTTGTGCGCATTCAAATAATTATATACGCTTCTTGATTAGCATCATCTTGTATTTGTTTGTCTAAATGTTCAACATTAGAGAAGCATGTTATATTTGAGGTAGTGCAAGATATTTGTATCAATTAGAATTATTATGCATTTACTTGATCTTAGATTTATGTTGCATGATCATCATCTTCAAATGCGTATATAGGTCCTTGTCTAGCTATCACTCATGTTATTACTTTATGATATATGTTTAACCCTCAATAATAGTATAATGAGCTCTTGATTCAATATTTTGACTGCAGTGATTTAAATATAATAAATTGCATGTTTCCATTGACATTTTTTTTTGCATATCCTTTAACTCCAATTGACTACATAAATTTATTTCTAAACTTGTGACCAATAACACATTGAAATTTGAATTTGAAAAGTCCCATCAAATCATATTAAAATTTTTTTAAGAAAAATCACAAGTGTTTTAGAGAGGATGGAGATTCCTGCACGTCGCCCATGTTCATGGCCTTTTGATGCTGATTTTCATGCGGGATAAAGCCTATAGAGGGTTTCGACCTACACCATACTACCATCTTTAAAGTAGGTATAACCTATTAGGTTGGCATATAATATATATATATCATCACATATATATATATATATAATATATAATATATATATATATATGAAAATTAAAATAAAAAATAAATAAATTTTATATTAATATATTATATTAATTAGTATATAAAATATTAATCGATGTATCTAATATAATATATGTACCGTGACAATCTATCTAAAAATATGTACTGATCTAGAATATAATGATTTGACTGACTATCTGAATATAAAAATTGCATATGAATTGTTATGAAATTCCTCCATTTCATACTATAGTATATTATATATATATATAGGTAGTAATCTATATATTTATTCATCACATTCCTAATTATTATAAAAATAGAATAATATTTCAATATGTTAATATTCTTATTATTTCTTACTATATCCTATTTAATATGATAAGACTCATGAGATAAGAATCTATAGGAAACCCTCTATTTCCTCTCTCTATAATTGAAATGACAAGATAAAAAAAAATCTATAAAAATTTCAATCGAAGTTGAAAAAAAAAAAACAAATTTTCAAAGTATTGTTCTCTTTATCTCTGAAGCTATGGGTGAAGACTTCAACTTTTAAGAAGCGATCAATTGATGTCCATTGCACTGCGACAATTGTTTCTACCTAACTGAGCTATTACAGTTGTATAACAATTTATATATATAGAATAATTATTCTGTGTCAGAGGTCATGCCAGTAATCCCACATGATAACTCTTAATTCATTTATGTTTATTGTCAATAGATTTATATTGCTTAAAATATACTTATACGCTATAAGAGTCAGAAGCTGATAAAGACCTTTTTTGTTGTAGAATGACAAACTCTAACCCATGCTAATGATTTGTATATGATGACTCCTAGACTTATTTATCCACATAATCTTATTTAAGTAAAAATAAGTTGTCTTATCTGCTCAACCAGTGTACTTTGACCCTAAATAATGGATGTTTATGGTATGCTCTTTTGCACATCATTGTATATATTATGTAATCAATTGTGATTTAGTGTGATACCTTACAATATGAGTATGAATAACCCCACTTATTTTATCTCATAATTGACATTTATTGAAATTTATCCAAAACCCAATATACAAAAATATCCGCTCATTTGATTTCCATATTGTATGTGTAGTACTTTAATTTCCATTATTCGCTTAATCTTT